CAAGGTAGGCGTGTGGGGAGGGGCTCCCCGTGTCCAGCCACTTGGGAGGGGCAGCCCCGAGCACCTGCGCTTACGGATCCTGAGCCAGCGTCACTCTGCCAGCCTGCCAGGCACTGGCCGTGCTGAGGCATCTAGAAAGCACAGTGTGGGCCTCCCCCAGGCCCCTCACACAGCGCCCTGTGGCTGCCTCAGAAACCACCCCCAGGGGTGCGGGTTTGCACTGTTCCCGCTGCCACCTCAGCTCACGGAACTCGGGCAGCCTGAGTTCGTCCACATGTGCTGGTGGGGCCTGTGGGCCCCCGGGGGGGCGGGACTCCCATGCCGCATCTGCCCCGCAGTGGTGACCATCATCAAGGGGAAGGTGGAGGAGGTGGAGCTCCCGGTGGAGAAGGTGGACATCATCATCAGCGAGTGGATGGGCTACTGCCTCTTCTATGAGTCCATGCTCAACACCGTGCTCTACGCCCGGGACAAGTGGCTGGTGAGGCCTGGCGGGGAGCCAGCCTCTCCCGGCGGGCGGCCTCCTGGGGCATGGGCGCTGGGGCCCGAGGAAGGATGGGCAGGAGGCCCGCGCCCCGGGAGGGAAGCGGCCGATGGGCAGAGCAGTGGCCAGGGCGCGCGGCCCTGCAGCAGGGCACTAGGAGTGGAGTTGGGGTTGGCGGGGTACGGGTCAGGCCCCCGGAGAGGCTGGTGCTGGGATCCAGTGGGGGGTGGTTGGCCCAGACCCGCGCTTAGTGCCCCTGCCCCGCCCTCCACAGGCTCCCGACGGCCTCATCTTCCCAGACCGCGCCACGCTGTACGTGACGGCCATTGAGGACCGGCAGTACAAAGACTACAAGATCCACTGTGAGTGGCGCCCCGGGCCCTGGGGGCAGGAGGCGGGCGCGCCAGCTGGCCCCCGCTGGGCTCAGCCTGCTTGCCTCCTGCCCCCAGGGTGGGAGAACGTGTACGGCTTCGACATGTCTTGCATCAAAGACGTGGCTATCAAGGAACCGCTGGTGGACGTGGTGGACCCCAAGCAGCTGGTCACCAACGCCTGCCTCATAAAGGTGAGGGCGCGCCCAGTGTCGGAAGCGGGCCGGCACCAGCGGCTTGTGCTTGGGGCTGCCCTGCGGCCTGGAGGGAGGCGGCGGGCACCCGAGGGAGTGGTGGGACGTGGATGGGACCCCACTGTCCGGGAATAGGCGGGGCTTTGGCCGGGGCTCAGCTGGTCTAATGCAGCAGGTGTGGGCAGCGCCGCCTTGGGGTCGGGGTGCAGGGCGCGGGGCCGGGGCCGCAGAGCGGGGCTCATGGGCCTTCCCGCAGGAGGTGGACATCTACACCGTCAAGGTGGAAGACCTGACCTTCACCTCCCCCTTCTGCCTGCAAGTGAAGCGCAACGACTACGTGCACGCGCTGGTGGCCTACTTCAACATCGAGTTCACGCGCTGCCACAAGAGGACCGGCTTCTCCACCAGTGAGCGGGGCGCGGGGGCGGGGTGGCGCGCAGAGCCAGGCCGGCAGCCTGCTGACTCCCCCCACCGCCAGGTCCCGAGTCCCCCTACACACACTGGAAGCAGACGGTGTTCTACATGGAGGACTACCTGACGGTGAAGACGGGCGAGGAGATCTTTGGCACCATCGGCATGCGGCCCAACGCCAAGAACAACGTGAGCCCCGGGGGTCCTGTCTGGGCCCGGCTGCCTGCTGGCCTCTGCTGGGGGCCTCGGCTCTGGCCGTGAGGGGTGGTGTTGGGCGCCTCCCAGGGCCCGGCTGCGGCCAGACCGCCCGCCCTGCTGTCGGCCTGCCTGGACGGGTCGTGTGAGCGCGCTTGGATGGCAGCAGCGGCAGGCAGCAGGATGGGGGTGCTGCCGGGCTTCCGCCCCAGCCCTTGAGCAGGCGGGAGGAGAAGGTTCCAGGGTGGAGCCAAGTCAGGTGACCTGCACTGGAAACACCATGTGGGGTGTGCCTGGTGCCCAGAGGGAGGGTGGCCGGGCTGGGAGCTGCACCCCCAAGTTTGGGAGGTGGGGGCCACTTAGGGGATGGGGTTGCCACAGGTCCCACAGCGCAGAACAGCATGCCCCTCATGTGGGCCTGCAGAGGTGGCGCTCCCCCAAACTAAAGAGACAGAACTTGAGAGGAGGGGCGGGGTGCTGGGGTGAAGGGAGCACTTGGCAGGAGGGGTGGGGTGCTGGGGTGAAGGGAGCACTTGGCAAGAGTCCTGAGGACGTGGGTGGGGACAGTCAGGGAATCCTGGAAGGAGAGGAAGTGGGACTGGCGGGGACCCTCAGATTTTGCTGTCAGGTTAATTTTGGAGGGGGAAGTGTACCAAGAGGGGTTCTTAGAAACAGGAGGAAGTGGCCTCCAGTGTGGGCAGGGTCTCGTGGTGCCACCACACAGTTCTGGGGCAGGGCGCTGGCCGGGCCACGTGAGTGTTGAGGGTGTCCTGGCTGCTGGCTGGGCTCGGCAGTCTGGGACCCGATGTGGGGTCCCAGCCTGGACACGGACTAGGTGCAGGAAGCAGGGCTGGGCCTCCCACTCGGCTGCGGGCTCTGACTGCCCTTCACGCCTGGCGCCCCCTCTCCCCACAGCGCGACCTGGACTTCACCATCGACCTGGACTTCAAGGGCCAGCTGTGCGAGCTCTCCTGCTCCACCGACTACCGGATGCGCTGAGGCCGTGCCAGCTTCTCCCCCGGCTGGGCGGGCCCTGCATGGGCCCAGGGCTGCGGCCTTCGTAGGCGGTTTCGGGGCTCCCCCTTCCTCTCCCTCTTGCAGAAGAGGGTTTTAGGGGCCTGGGCTGGGGGGAGGGCACATCGTGACTGTGTTTTTCATAACTTATGTTTTTATATGGTTACATTTACGCCAATAAATCCTCAGCTGGGACAGCTCGGCTTCCTGGGGGCAGAGGTGTGTTGGGGCTCCTTCCACCTGTGCTGACTGGCCAGGAGCACTGGGGCGGCACCTGCAGGCCTCTCAGGGTCAGTCCCACTGCCACAGCCCACTCCCCCAGGCCCCCCTCCGCGGCCTGGGCTCTGTTCCCCTTTGCCCCACCAGCTGTCCTGCTGACTGGGGACTGGGGTGTGGGTTCCAGCACAGCTGGGCCCCTTATGTGTCCAGGAGAGCTGGCGCTCCTGCCCTCTAGTGTGCAAGATTCGGGGTGGTTTCCTGCCCCTAAGCCAAGGCAGGACCAGTGCTGACTGGCACTCCTCCGCCCCTGGGGAAGTGGAGCCTAGGGATGCCAGCTTGGGTGTGCCTGCTTCCTACCCCAGCCTGACTTGCCGCTTGGGTAGAGGTGGGTGGGAGTCTGAAGCCCTCCCGCCTGAAAAGAAGGCGGGAGGGCGCTCGGGCGCCGGCCCTCTGCACTTCTCCAGCCGGCTTGGCCCCGCCCTGGGCCGGCAGGCATTGGGGCTCCAGGCCCGGTGCCACCCTGCCCCTGCCCACAGTGCCTGTGCCAGGGCCCACACCCCCTTTGTCCGAGTGCCACGTGTCCACTGGTCCGGAGACCACCAAGCCACACCACACAGGGCGTTTCCCGGCCCCGCCCCCTCCGGGGAGCAGTCAGGTGGTGGCCCCGCCCCTGCCTGCCTTAAAGGGGTCGCGTTCCCCGGGCCTTCGGCGCAGTGACCTCAGTGCAAAGGGAGAGGGTCTGCGCTCTGATCTTGCCTTACTGGCATGGTAGGGCCTAGACTGGCCTCAGTCTTCCTGCCTGGGGGTGGGCACCAAGGCGCTCAGACCAGGAAAGTGTCAAGCAGGGTGGATGCCCTGCGTCCACAGGGCCCACCCCAGTGACCACCCACGTCTTGCCTCTGCTTTGCCTCCCGTCCTCCGACCTAGGGGGCCGGGGCGCCGTGGGCAGTGAGGAAGGCCAGCAGCCACGGGGCCTGGGCAGGAAGGAGGCCACAGCGTCCACTGGCCTGGTGGGGAGTGGACTGCGCATGCGTCATGGAGCTGCGTCCCGGAAGCCCCGCGTGCCAGGTCCTCTGCCAGCCTATTCTGCAGATTCTTTGAACTCGGTCTGCCTAGCCTCAGGGCCCCAGCACGGCAGGCACCTGTGTTCCCTGGGCACATGCCTGGGGCACTGCGCCCCAGAAGCCATATTCTGGTTCTGCTATGCCTCCACAAGGAGCTCTCCTGGGTCTTGAGCCCCAGGACTCCCATATCCATGGGCACCGCCGGAGATGCCAGGCGGGAGTCCCGCTGTGTCTCCGGAACCCCGGCTTGCATCAATGAAGCAGGAGCAGTGCCCAGATCCCTGGGTCACCTGGGGCATGTCTCTGCCCATCCCCTGGTCTCAGTTTACCTATCCATACATTGGCGCCTCGACCCCCTTCACCTAACTCCACTTCCTGGGCTGGCCTGGAGACCTTCTCCACCGCCAGGGTGTGACTGAGCTGGACCCAGCACGGAGGGATTAACGTTCAGAGCCTCAAGAAACTAATCCTGTTATTTCCGTCTCTGCCCATTCGGGTCTCCCAGTCTGAGCCGGTCTCTGGCACATTCCTCCCCTTTGGCCAAGCATCTCCCCCTGGGAAGTTCTGCTGAATGTATCACTTGATTCCTGCCCATATCGCGTCGTCTCGGCAGCGGCTCAATCCACACCACTGTTACTTCCGTGCCGCGTGGGTGGCCTGGTGGGGACAGACTCCAAGCAAAAGCAGCCCTCTTCCCTCCCGGGGGTGGTGGGGCTGAGGGCCCAGTCGACACCGAGCACGTGATCACGTGCACCTAGAGTGGGCTGTGGGTTCCGCGCTGCGCCTGGCTCCTTGAAGAGAAAGAAGAGTGAAAGAGACAAAGCGTACTGGGAAGCCCAGTAACCTGGGACTCAGAGAGGAGAGAGATGCTGCTTAGAACCCGGGAGGCCAGATGGAGAATCGGCCGGTAGGAGGAGACTGAGGGCTGGGATCCAGCGGCGGGAGGGGATTGGACACTGGAACTCCACGGGGGCGGGAGGAGGCCGCGGCGATTAGAAGGGGCGGGGACAGCGCAGAGGGGTGGGAGAGGGCGGGGACAGAGCCGAGATTTTGGAAGGGGGCAGGGATAAAACCTGGGACTTGAATACCCGGCGAGGCACACAACGCGAGGAAGAAATCGGGGTTCCTGGATGTCGGGTAATCGGGGGTGGGCAGGAGCTCCGCAGGCTCATCGACCAAGTCCTGGACCCGTTGCACTAAAATTGGACATATGCAAAGGGGAGACTTGGGACCTGGCGCTCTAAATCGGGGATCGGGGTGTGTTCTCGGGCTTGGTCTTCGGGTCTCGTTCAGAGGCCCCCTGACCCCGAGTGGTAAGTACTGGACCGCAGGGGCCCGAGCCCCTGCCTGGGCTTGGAGGCCTGTGTCTTGCGAGGGCTGGGCGTGCGGGCCTCTCCATCCCTCGGCCTCCGAGCTCCGCTCACAGCCTCAGCATCCCTGACGGCGAAGCATGCGCAGTAGGGTGCTTCCTTCCCCATCCCCTCCGGTCCCAGGCGAGGGGGAGGGGACGCCGGGCCACCCCAGAGCGGATGGATTTAAGGACAACCTCCTCTTATCCCTCCCCCCACCCCCCACTACCACCTCGAAATGGGAAGCGGAAATGGGGTGGACAGTGCCAGCGTCTGGCAGGTGTTCATTCCAAGTGAGTCTGGGACTAACGTTTGCCTCTAGACACCACACTCACCCAGGACGGGTTTCCGCCCCGACCCCCGATGGTGAAAGACCTCTATTGGGGGGAGGCACTGCCCCCACACCCGCACCCTGATCTGTTAGAAAAAGGAGCTTTGCGCTACTTAGCCCTTCTACCTCTCTATGCGTTCACAGAGGTCCCTAATTGACGTCCCCCCAGCACCTGCGTCTCCAGCCAGACGCCCCCCCTAGCCCTCCCGGTGCTTAGGAAAGGGTCAGCCGGGGTCCGTATTCCCCGGCCTGCGGCAGGCGGCCCCGGGGCATGGAGGGTAACGCTCGCCCTCCCCATAGAGCGCCATGGCTGAAGCACACCAGGCCGAGGGCTTCCCATCCTCGCTGACCGCGGACGGGGCGGAGGCGGAGCTCGGTGCCCCGGTGCTGCAGGACATCTGCCTCTCCGGACTGCGCTCCTGGAAGAGGCATCTCTCCCGTTTCTGGGTGAGGAGGGCTGCGGAGGGTTCTTCCTGGGTGCCAGCGGCCTCGCTCGGGGAACCCTGATGCCTGAGACCCAATCACCGCCCCCTCTGGGAACCGCAGTGTCTACTGCCAGGAAGCCAAAGAACCGCTCCTGGGGTCTCTGGGGTGCGCTTTCAGTGTTCTCAACCCACCTGCGGGGCCCTATGCGCGCACGGCTGCCAAGCACAATTTCCACCCCAATTTCCGCTCCCTTCCGAGCATCTCTCACGTGAAGTTCAATCTCTGGATTCTCCATTGGCAGAGGCCCAAGACCCGATGGAGGGCTTGGGTAGCCTAAACCCCAAATCCTGAAGGTCCCTCCTTGCCATTCTTCGCTCTCTGGGGCTCCCTGCGCTGCTCCAGCACCCCGTCCTCCTCTGCAGGGTTCACGGTAGCCTCCCTCCAATTCCAAGCCATGTTCCTGCCTTCATCACGTGCCAACCTGCCACCCCAAGCTCTGGGAAAGCCCCTGCTCTGCGCTCCAGAACACCCGCTCCCCACATCTGCCCCAGCCTGTGTCTCCCCGGAGCACAGCCTCTCTGACAGAGGTCCTGAACCCCTATGGGGGCTTCCAGGACTGGGCTTGAATCCCCCTCCACACCTGCTGGCTGTGTAGTGGTGACAAGTAGGCATCTCGGAGCCTCAGTTTCCCGCTTGTGGGAGGGTAGGGCAGTGCCGTCCACAAGGATGATAGGAGTGAGTCAGCGTGCCCCTACACTGGCCCAGTGCCTGGCCAGTGGCCAGGGCGGTCTAGGTGTCGGCCCTTCTTTCAGTCACTGAGTATCTTGGGTGGGCATTTAAGGGCCTGCCACTATGGGGGCGCTGGACACGGTGGGGTGCAGGAGACACAGAGTCCTCTCCATCTGCTTGAGTCTCGAGGCAGTGAAGAGGCACAGCAAAGGGTGCAGTGTGTGAGGTGGTGATGTGGGCTCTGCGGACCAGGAGGGCAGAGAGGGGCCTGCGGGCTTGTACTGAATGAAGGCCCAGGCCAGGCCCAGGAGTGCTGGCTTGGGGCAGCTGAGCAGGCCGAATGGCACCTCCATCACCATATTGGCTGACAAAACACAGCCATCTGACTCAGTGGGCAAAGGCCCTCCAGCCTGGCCCGGGGGACCCCCTGGGCCTCCGGTCATTCCAGCAACTAAAGCTTTAGCATGTACATGCACATCGATGGATATACTCAGGGGAAGATACTCAGTTGATCCTTGAACAACTCGGGGGTTTAGGGATGTGAACATCTGCACGTAACATTTTTTAAAAAAAATTTATTTATGTGTACAGAACTGAGGTGCAGGGGCGGTGAGAGGCTTCACCAGAGACAGAGTGGGAGCAGAATGGGCAGACTGACGAAGTCCACTGCTGAGGGAGCAGCAGGCAAACAGGCGAGGTCTGCCGCGCCCTGTGGGTCCCTCCCTCGCCGGGGATCGTACTCCTGCTGAGGTGGCTGCAGCTAGTTTCGCAGTGCTGTGCTTTACCCCACTGCACCCCAGGGAGGGCCCCTGTTGGGTTTTGACAGTGACCTAACATTTGAGTCCACACCTGGACAGGCTTTCCCACCCAGTCAGATGTCCCCTCCGCCCCCAACAGATGGTTGGCCTAAATCCTGCTCTTCTAGCCTAAAGCTGCCTCTCTTCCTGGTGGGCCTGGCTGCTCACGGCCCCCGCTAGGCAGCCCCGGGAGCTGCCTACAACTATTGCTTCTGAAGTTTGGACCCAGGGTGAGGAGATACCATCCAGAGTCTCCCCCCAGCCTTGGTTTCTTTACTCATAAAACAGGGGTCGTTCGCAGAAGGTGTCTTAGCAGAAGGCGACATTAGTGTTACGTTAGGGTCCTGGCTGTGCCGTGTGGATGCTCGGTGGCCTCTGGCATGTCACTGGCTTCTCTGAGTTCCTGTGCTGAAACCACATTACGTAGTGTGTAGTGTGTGCCCGGCCCCCTACTCGCCAAGCCCTTAAAGCTCTTCCAATCCCCATCAAGGATTGACCTATCCTTAGTCCCATTTTACAGAGGAAGAAACTGAGGCCCAGAGAGATACACTCACTTTCCCAGGGTCACACAGCCGCTGAGAGGCAGCGCTGACTGGCACTCTGGTTCTCCAGATGCGTGTCTAGAATGAGATGCTCGGGCTGTGTCACTGGGCTGTCGGGGCTGCGGGCCGTGGGTCTCTGGACTGAGTGGGTCGCCTGGCCTCCAGCAGTCTGCGCGCGGATGGGTTCCCTAAAGTGCTTTTCCAATGAGCGTGGAATTCCCAGACTCAGCAGAGCCCAAAGTCTGGTACCCCGCAGTTGTATCCAGCTGCCGGGCATTCCAATGGTCCCAGGGGTTAAGTGGGGCCTGGGGGCACGGAGCGGGGGTTCACTTCCCAGGCCCACCACTTCCTGTCGTGTGGCCTTGAGTCTTCAAACTGCCTGTGTTTTTACCTGTTGGCTGGGGATAATAACAGTGGTCCTCACTGACTTACAGGGAAGTAATGAGATGCCTGGCGCTGGTAAGTGCTCTTTTTTCATTATTACTTTTTAATTGCCTAGTGGAGGGGACAGATGCTTGCATGGCTCCCCTTTCCTCCCCTGCAGAATGACATCCTCATGGGTGTGTTCCCTGCCAGCCCTCTCAGCTGGCTCTTCCTCTTCAGTGCAATCCAGCTTGCTTGGTTCCTCCAACTGGATCCTTCCCTAGGACTGATGGAGAAGATCAAAGAGTTGTTGCCGGACTGGTGAGCTCCTACATTTCAGCCCAGAAACCGCTCTAGCTATTATCCCTCCACCGATGCGCTTCTCCATCAGTGTGGCATGCCTGTTAAAGGAAAGTTACCTTAGAGAATTAGTTTGGGTCAGATTAACAAAGTTATAGCACTGGTAAAAAAGGAGGTGATTTTCTCCTTTCTCTGCATATTTTCCATCCCAGCTGCTTCTAGCTGAGTGGGATGGTGACAACCTGGGAAATACTAACAGAAGTATAAGCAATGCCAGTGTCTAGCTATGTAAGCAAAATGGCAAGATACTTCACCATTCTCGGTGTCAGCACCTTCATCTGTAAAATGGGGGTAATGGTCATTGCGTCTTAGGATGACTGGAAGAATAAAACAAAACCACGTGGGCGGCATATTCAGTTCGGTGGGTGCTGGGGGCCACCGAGTGGGAGGGCCTGTGACTACAGTAGCTGCTCTCGTCTCTGGGGAAGGACTGCAAAGCAAGTGCAGATGAAGAGACAGGTTCTTACTCTTGGGCTCATCCTCCCTGGGAAGGACGGTCAGATACGAGCAGAGCCAGGATGCCAGGCAAAAAATTTCCAATCTACAGGCGGCCAGGCCACCCACATCCTCCAGGTGGGATTTGCTCACACTCATCTGAGCGTTGCCTTGCAACCATGTTGCCGCTTTGCAACCATGTTGATTCAGTGTAGCTTCAGGCCAGCAAGTCCTGCACTTGAGTTTGTGCAGGAACCTCCTGGAGGCTTGCTGAAACACTGACAGCGGGCTCCTTCCCTGCAGTAGGAGGGGAGGAGGTCTGGCTGGGACCTGGGAATTTGCATTTCCAACTGACTCCCAGTTAGAGGCCCCACTTTGCCAAGCACTGCCTTGGAGTATAATTTGCTCTCTAGGGGTGGGGGGAGCGAGTGTCACTTTGGGAGAAATACCAGCTCTCACTCCTACCAGTTTCCAGAACTGGGTACAGGCCAGAGTTGCAGGGGGTGAGAGGATTCACCAGACAGAGTGGGAAGCAGAGCATGCAGATGTACTGAAATCCATTGCTGAGGGGAGCAGCAGGGGACAGGAGAGGTCTGCTGCGCCCTGGGGGTCACTCCCTGGCCAGGGATCGGACTTGTGCTGCAGCGGCTGCGATAGCTTCACAGTGCTGCGCTTCACCTGCTGAGCCGCCAGGGAGGCCCAGGCGTGATTTTGGAAGCTTGGTGTTCCCACAGTCCTGGTTGTGGGCTGACACTTCATGCCTACTTCACAGAGAAAATCGAACCTCTCTGACAGCCTCTAATTCTGCAGTCTGTGCCTCCAACGGCCCAAAGACCAGGGTCGGGCATTTTAGGAGAGGCAGGGCTGGGTGGGGGCTGGAAGGGAGCGGGGCTCTAAGCCTGAGACCCAGGCCCATCCTCTCTTCCCACAGGGGTGGACAGCACCACAGGCTTCGAGGGGTCCTGGCAGCAGCACTGTTTGCATCGTGTCTTTGGGGAGCCCTGATCTTCACACTTCACGTGGCCCTGAGGCTCCTTCTCTCTTACCACGGCTGGCTCCTTGAACCCCACGGAACCATGTCGTCACCCACCAAGACCTGGCTGGTATGTGGGAGGCAAAGCCTGCTCCGGGCTCCTCTGTGGGTCTCCATCTCCCTCCTTACGCTCTGTGCCCGTCTCTTCCGCCGTTCTCCCCCTGGCTGCCACCGACAGCCTTGCCCCGACCTGGCCCCAGTGAGGTGGTTGATGACCTACACATTTTGGCTTCCGTCCAGGCCCTGGTCCGCATCTTCTCTGGCCGCCACCCCATGCTCTTCAGTTACCAGCGCTCCTTGCCGCGGCAGCCCGTGCCTTCGGTGCAGGACACCGTGCACAAGGTGGGCCCCGGTGTCCCGGGATGGGGCAGGGCGCCAGCCAGCAAGCAGGGGGCAGCTGACCGACCCTCTCCCCGGCGCAGTACCTGGAGTCTGTCCGGCCCATCCTCTCGGACGAGGACTTCGACTGGACCGCCTTCCTCGCGCAGGAGTTCCTGAGGCTGCAGGCATCCCTGCTGCAGTGGTACCTGCGGCTCAAGTCCTGGTGGGCGACCAATTACGTGAGTCTCCTCGGGGCAGGCCAAGGTTCTGCGCCGCCCCCCAGCCCCAGCCCCGCCCCGCCCCCAAGATCGAGCCCTGCAGCGATTGGACTCCGCCCCAGGCGCACCCCCTGGCCCCGCCCCCTGCTCAGCTCGCTGAGCCCCGCCCTCACGCTCCCTTCTTTTAAACCCTGCTACGAAGGTCCCAGCTCCTTATTCCCCAATGTTCCGAAACCTCTTCATCGTCTGCCTACATTTTGAGCTCTGCGCATCAGGCTCTAGCTTTTGGAGCCCTACTTTCTATTACTGTATACTCGGCTGCAGAGCTCCGCCCCAACTTCCAGGTATTTGAACCAGAACCACAGGGGCGCATGCATCTTTTGAGTCCCTGCCCCACTCATTCAGCCTAAAGTCCAGAATACTTCTAGTCCGCCCCCACGACACCTCCAAATGGTCTAATCGAAGTTCAGGAGCAAGGCCCTTGATTGTTGGGCTGAGTTGAGGTCCTTGGGGAACCAAGACATGGATCTCAAGTCAGGCTTACACAGACGCACCCTTAAATACCCGTGGGAGCTTGTAATGAAATGGAGGTGACTGATGGGGTGGGGTGGTATCTGGGATGGGGTGGGTCAGAGGGGGCTCACGCTGATGAAAGAACCTGGGTTTTAGGAGACAAAAGTATTAGAGCCAAGGCTTTAGGGTTGGAGGGAAATTGAAGCTGTCTCGTTGGTAAGAAGGTAGAGCTGGAGCTTTTTTAAAAATGAAAATTTTTAGGGGTCTCCCTGGTGGTGCAGGTTAAAGTCGGCACTATCAAGCCATCAGCAGCTACTGTGGCATGAATTCCATACCTGGCCAGGGAGTGACCCACACCATGCATAAGACCTCTCTTGTCTCCCCGCTGCTCCCCTCAACAGTGTATCTCAGCAGATCTGCCTGCTCTGCTCCCCACTCTGTCTCTGAATCCCCCACCTTGCACCTCTGGCTTACACCCCAGTTCTTGTATGCATAAATAAACCCTTTTTTAAAAAAAGTGTATATATATGTATACTATATGTGCACACATATACATGTATATATACACACATACTTTATATGTATGTATATGTACATGAGCTATAGTGTATATATATATATCACTATCTAGCTATCATTTATATCTCCAAGGAACTGGCATTTATAACATACACCATTATCTTGCATCCAACAGAGAAAGAGAAAAAAGCCGAGGCCTGCTAATCTCCCTCATTATTTATGGATTTTGGATTTGCCAGTCTGCTTGCTTGTTAACTTGTATGTGGAACCCAAGTCAGCCCTCTGGCTTGTTCCTGGTCATCCTGTACACCCATAGAGCACAGAACATTCCAGCTGCCTGATACGTCCCCAGCTGGCGTGGAAGAAAGTGTCTTTCTCCCTCTTGTTTCAATTCTCACACTGTAACCAGTGTCCTATTTACAATTTGTTCGGTTGCACTCCGTTTGCCTCTTGGGGCTCTTGGTCAGTGGCTTTGCTGTTTTCAGTGCCCCCCCACCCCGGCGCCCCTGCGCCTGCCCCCAGAGATGGCTGGCGGCTGCCTAGAGGCAGGCTGGAAGTTCCGCGTACATCTTAACTTGTGTCAGTCCCAGCACACATTGTGGAGCATGTGATTTTTTGAGCTGTTGATTCCCTGGATCAATACAAAAGTGGAAATGCTGGGTGATGTGGTATATTGCTTTTTCTTTTTTTTTAATTGCAGTAAAACATGCAAAACAAAATTTGCCACTTTCCATTTATGTGAGTGCTCTCAGCGGAAGCATATACTATTCATCTTCTGGTGTCTAACCCCTGCCACTTGGCACAATGTTGTGTGGTTCCTCCACGTTGTAGCCTGCAAGAGAACTTCATTCTTTTTTATTTATTCATTTATTTATTTAAAGAAAAAGTAGTTGCTTTTAAAATTTATTTATTTGTGCATACAGAACTGGGGTACAGGCCAGAGGTGCAGGGGTAGTGAGAGGACTCACCAGAGACAGAGTGGGGAGCAAAACAGGCAGGTTGACAAAGTCCACTGTTGAGGGGAGCAGCGGGGAGACAGGAGGGGTCTGCCATTTGCGCCACCTCCCTGGCCTGATTGAACTGGTGCTAAAGTGGCTGTGCCTAGCTTCATAGCGATGTGCTTTAGCCCACTGTGCCACCAGGGAGCGCTCTTGTTCTTTCTTATGTTACTATTAACATTGCATTCTATGGACAGAACACATTTTGGTCATCTATTCATCTGCCTGTGGACATTTATGATTGTAGTTTTTTAAGTCTCAGAAAGTTTCATTTTCTCACTGACAGAATGTTTTGATGCTCACGCTGTCGGTTCTTTTTAATGGCTGCATACTATTCCACAACCTACTCAGGTGATGAGTAGAAGGCCCTAACCTTCTCAGGGTTTAGCTAACTAACTGATCTCCTATTGGTGAACGTCTAGGTTTTTGCCAGTTACTGATCATGATGGCCTCCTTCATCAAGCTCCACCCTTTCTGTTTGACACAGCTAGGTCTTGGGGCTCACAACTTGCATTACTCCTTCCCCCCCAGCTATCCCAGCTGCGTGGCTTTCTGTTCCACTTACAGGTCAGTGACTGGTGGGAAGAATTCGTGTACCTACGATCCCGGAACTCGCTGATGGTGAACAGCAACTATTATATGATGGTGAGAGGAGAGGAAGGGTCGGGTTCACAGGTTGAGGGGTGAGGTGTCTGGGTAGAATGCAGGATTTATGATCAGCGGCCTGAATCCCAGTCTGGAACTCAACACCCCGCCTGGGTTTGGGATCAGTGCCCCATCAGGAACGCCCCTGACCCCAAGTGTCTTTCTCTCCTCCGGGCTGGCCTCTAGGACTTCCTGTATGTCACCCCCACGCCGCTGCAGGCCGCCAGGGCAGGGAACACGGTCCATGCACTCCTCCTATACCGCCACCACCTGAACCGCCAGGAGATCCTGCCAGTAAGAGGCTGTGGGGGCTGGAGGGTTGGGGTGCTGGAGGGAGGCTGGGGGACCACGTGGCCCTGGAGGCGGGTCTCCAGCCCACGTGTCCCGCAGACTCTGCTGATGGGGATGAGGCCCCTATGCTCTGCCCAGTATGAGAAGATATTCAATACCACGCGCATTCCTGGAGTCCAGAAAGGTGAGGCCCCGCCCCTCGCTCTGAGTGGCCAAGCGGTGACACTACTGAGCGTGCTCTCCCGGCCAGCCCCGCCCCGTTGGCATCCGGCTCCATGGCTCCCTGGCTGTGTGACCTTGGGCACGTTATCACCCTCCCTGAGCCTCGGCTTCCTCATCTCCAACGTGGATGCTGAGATTAAGTGAACGCTTACACGGTGTAAGCCGCGCAGGGATGCCCAGTAAATGGTGGGCGTTCCTATTCCGGGGTACCGGCGCCCGGGCCCCCACCCTCTGCCAACCCGCCCCCAGACCACATCCGCCATCTCGGGGACAGCAGACACGTGGCCGTCTTCCACCGGGGCCGGTTCTTCCGCGTGGGGACCCACTCCCAGAGCGGCCTGCTCTCCCCACGAGCCCTGGAGCAGCAGTTTCAGCGCATCCTGGATGACCCCTCCCCCGCCTGTCCCCGGGAGGAGCATCTGGCCGCCCTGACCGCAGCTCCCAGGTGAGGGGGGGCAGCGGGGGCGGGGCAAGTGGAGGGTCAGCCTGGGCTCAGGCACGTCCCCCGACAGGGACATGTGGGCCCAGGTGCGGAGTTCGCTGAAAAGCCAGGCACAGGACGCCCTGGAGGCTGTGGAAGGGGCCGCATTCTTCGTCTCGCTGGACTGCGAGCCCGCGGGACTCAGCAAGGAGGACCCCGCCGCTTCCTTGGACAGCTACGCCCACGCCCTCTTGGCCGGCAGGGGCCACGACCGGTGAGTCCCACCGCGCGGACTCCACCCACACCGAGACCCCAGAACCCGTATCCAGACCTGGGACGCTGCATACTAGACAAGCAGACCCTGGACCCCAAGCCTGGGCAGTCTCCAGATGCAGATCCTCCCCGGGTCTGAGGGCCTCAGGCCCAGGGCTTCAAGACCTGGGGCCCAGAGAGTCTTCCAGACCCTGCACCCCAAACCCTGGGGCCAGATCTGAGCACCACCAGTCCCTACGCCTGGACTCTAGTATCTGGAGTCATCCCCGCACCTCCCCTCCCCGAACCCCAGGCCGGGAGACATGGAGTTCTTAGACCTAGGACCGCCAGACCCTGAGATCTTCAGGCAACTTCCTGGAGACCCACCAGGCAGCATTCTGACTTCTGAGGTCCCCCAGGAGACTCCCCCACCCCTCAGCACCCTATAAACCTTGACCTTTTCTCTGAAGGGTCTCTCAAAGTCCGCAACTCTCCAAACCCTAATCACGTCTCTGAGACCATCCAGAAACTCCCAACCTCTTAGGGACCCACTCCAAGGCCCTGCCCTCATTCCCAGGTCTCCCCAAGCTGAAGTCCCTGCACGTGCCCCCAAGAGACCCAGAGTTTCCTCCGGGCCCTGGTTCTTCAGTTATCTTTCTGGTTTGGCAAATCCTTCCACAGCTGGTTTGACAAATCCTTCACCCTAATTGTCTTCTCCAACGGGAAGCTGGGCCTCAGCGTCGAACACTCGTGGGCCGACTGCCCCATCTCGGGACACATGTGGGAGGTAGGGTAACCAGTACCCTCAAAGTCCCTCCAGGGGGCCGCCCTCCCCATATCGAAGACCTTCCTCCCAAGGCTTAGAGTCAAAGGAAAAAGGAAGATTCCTTGACAGTCAGGTGGTGGGACCCGGAGCGGGGGATGATTTGCCCAGGCGTGACAGTGAGACCGTGAAGCCAGAATGCCGGGTCCGAGTGAGGCCGGTGCTCTTCCCTGAGTCTCGGTTTCACCAGGTGAAAGCACTGAACTTGCTCTTAACCTGAAGCTCCCATCCGGTCTGAAAACCTGAGCACCTCTGTCCTCTCTATTTAGCCCCCCAAATGCAGGGGATGGTGTCTGCACCCCATTCTTCCATGGTGCCATGAGGGGGGGTGGGGTAGGGCTCAGGATGGGGGTGAGCACATCCAGATCTAGGGAGCGGCCCCAGCTAAGCTGTGACTCCTTCCTGCCGGTTTCTCATTTGTAAAATGCCCCCCCCCCCGTGAGGATTTATGTACATTAAACTCCCGATTCCGTGGAACCTCAGTCCTGCAGACCAGTATGCCTACATGTAGTGCTCTGGGGCTGCTCCCGGGCCCCAGAAGGGATTATGAAGGGGGGAGCCTGGCTAGGGGATCTGACGGCTCTGCGGTGCCCAGTTCACCCTGGCCACGGAATGCTTCCGGCTCGGCTACTCGGCGGACGGCCACTGCAAAGGCCACCCGGACCCCACGCTGCCCCAGCCCCAGCGGCTGCACTGGGACCTTCCAGACAAGGTGAGGCCAGGTCCATGGGCTTCTCCAAGCCCCCAAATTCCAGACTTTGATGTTAAATCCATCTCGCCCTAAGCTCAAGCTCAAAGCCCGCCCGACTGCAGACCCAGGTCCCACCACCTGCCAAGCCAGCTCATGCCCAACTCCAGCCCCAACCTGTTGTCCCATCCGGTCTCATCCCCAGCCCTGACTCTAACCCCAGCCCCACCCCAGCCCCACCTTTACCCGACAAACTCTGCCCAGCCTCAACGCAGTCCTACTCTGCTCAAACCCCAAATTCATTCCCTCCCAATACCATTACCATAGCCAAACTCAATCCCATCTCCAACCCTCACTGCAGCCCCGACCAGTGAACCCAGCCCCTGCTCCAAGCCCATCCCATCCCCAACTCCAGTCCAGTCCCTACTGCATCCCACTTCACCGCCAGGATCCCTGCTTGACCCCAGCCCTCCAGCTCCGTCCTCTTCTCTGGCCATCTCGTAGGCCATGCAGGCCATGTCCTGTGCTTCCAGCACCATCCCCCACGCTTGCTCACTCCTCCCTCCCTTCTCTTCTCCCTCCCTTCTCTGCAGATCCATCCATCCATCTCTCTAGCCCTGAGGGGAGCCCAGACCTTGTCTGGAAGCATCGACTGCCATGTCTTCCCCTTCTCCCACTTCGGCAAGAGCTTCATCAAACACTGCCACCTCTCCTCAGACAGCTTCATCCAGATGGCCTTGCAGCTGGCCTACTTTCGGGTCAGTTGGGTACCCGACCTGAGCCCCCCTCACAGGACCTCAGCTACCCTGGGACCCCAAGACTCGCCTCTCCCGTCCTGTCAGTGACTTCTTGGTCATTGCCATAGTGGGTCCACCATCTTGGGCAGAGGTGCCTCAGAGCTATGAAGACCTCCTGAGCCCCGTGACAGGTCCTCTCCTCCTTGTCCCCTAGGACAGGGGTCAATTCTGCCTGACTTATGAGTCGGCCATGACTCGCTTGTTCCTGGAAGGCCGGACAGAGACAGTGCGATCTTGCACTAGGGAAGCCTGCAACTTTGTGCGAGCCATGGAGGATGGAGAGAAGACGGTGGGTGGGGCCTGCCTGAGGTGTTGTGTGTTTGCGTTCTCAGAGCACGTGCTGATGGCCAGGCGTGGACATTGGGGGTGGGGGAGCGGGCCTGGTCTCTCATCTTAAGGCGCTCACTGATACAGGGAGACAGAGGTAGTTCAGCTTAGCGTCCATGGGGGTCACTCAAGAAAGAACCCTGATTTCACAAAGAGCCTCTTTTTGACGATTTAACCTCCAAGTGTGACCTCCATTTGTACCATTCTTCATGTTGCCTTTCGGCTCAGAGCCCCCTGCCTGATCTTGCCCCTCTTTTTCCTCTCCCCCACTACCTGTGAATCTTTGTGACTCAGTAGAAGGAGTTTGCACTCTGGAGTTAGACCTGGGAACCCACCTGCTTCTATCTTGCTGTGTGACCCTGTGCAAGTGACTTCCCCTCTCTGAGCCTCCGTTTCCTCTCTGTAAAACAGAGTTGCTGTCTCTGCCTTGCAGGGATGTGGCAAGCTGGGTTGAGGCCAGGGGTGTGACAGGGCCAGCAGTAAGCCCACTTCCTGTCTTTCCATGACCTGCCACTTCCCGCGGGGACTCCAGATCCCACAGTGCCTCGCCCTGTTCCGCTTGGCGGTGGACAAGCACCAGGCCCTGCTGAAGGCAGCGATGAGTGGACAGGGGGTCGACCGCCACCTCTTCGCACTCTACATCGTGTCCCAATTCCTCCACCTGCAGTCGCCCTTCCTGGCCCAGGTTGGGGTGCAGGGAAAGTTAGACAGAACTGGCAAGCCACGGAGAAGGGAGGCGCTAAAGGGCAGGGAGGGTAATGTTGGGCAAAGCTGGCAGCAGCGAGGAGGAAGCCTGGGAGACTGGAGAGAAGTGGCAGGGGGCGTGGCCAAAGGAGGGCGTGGTCAAAGGAGGGCGTGGCCAAAGGGCGTGGGTGGGCGTGGCCGTGTGGTGGGCGGGGTCGTCGGGACCAGGGGCCACAGCGGAGGGCGTGGTTACCTAAGGGGAGAGGGACCAGACGACCAAGCTGCAGGCAGGGGTTGGGCCAGGGCAGGGGTACCTGCGGGTCTGTTCGTCCCCCCTGAACACGGGACGGTGTCCTGTCCGCAGGTTCACTCGGAGCAGTGGCGTCTGGCCACCAGCCAGATCCCTGTACAGCAAACGCACCTGTTTGACTTCCACAATTTCCCCGACTACGTCTCCTCCGGGGGTGGATTCGGGCCGGTGAGTGGAGCTGAAGCCTGGAGGGAGACGGGGCTGGAGACGTGCGCTCCTGTGAAGGGGTGGGCGGGGGTGACAGGCGGCTGGAGGCTTCCTCTCACCCTCCCTTCCAGGCCGACGACAACGGTTACGGTGTTTCTTACATCTTCATGGGGGATGACATGATCACCTTCCACATCTCCAGCAAGAAATCAAGCACAAAGACGGTGAGACAGACGTCAGTACACCCTTGCCGTCTCCTCGCTCAGGTCCGGGCTCGCAGGGTAGCCAGAGGCGTCATCAGTAAGGAGGACTGGGAGCCGGCCCGAGAAAAAGGCAGACAGGGCGCGGCCTAGGGAAGGGCTATGGTCGGATGCGTGGGGGTGCCTGGAAAGAGTAGAGGCAGAAGTGGGGAACCATCACGAGGGGAGGCACTGAGGGGCAAGAAGGGTAAAACCGGACAGCCCGGGCTGCAGGCCTCTCCTCCCAGCCCCAGGAGTGAGCCCAGCTGCTGTGACCCACAGCCCCAGGGCCTCTCCCGCTGCCGGGCCCCTGACGCTTCTCTCCTTGCAGGACTCACACCGGCTGGGGCAGCACATCGAGGACGCCTTGCTGGACGTGGCCTCCTTGTTCCAGGAGGGACAGCGTCTTACTCGTGGGTTCAGAGGGCTCAGGGAGAACTTGGGGCACAGGTGTAACTCTCCCTCACCTCACATTAGGGCCTCCAGGGTCACCACATCCACCAGCACTTGAGCCCTTCCAGAGGGGAGCTGGTCTCCCCCGGAACTAAGGGGATGGTCGCTGTGGCAGGACAGACCGCCTGTTTGAGTTTGGAAATCCCACATCTGCCCAATAAAGGTGCGTGAGCTGGAGCAGGTGTGTGGCGTGCACTGTGCCGGCCAGTTGGGCGCAGGCTGGAGAGGAGAGGGCAGGAGTAGGAGAGCGCCCCGCCACCTCCGGGCTCAACCCGGAATCCCCACTTACAATCACAGCTGCACCCCAACCCCCACACCTGCCCAGTGAGCATCATTCCAACTCCTGCCACACCCACCCCAAACATCCAGCGACCGCCCCATCCAGCCCCAATCCCGTAAACCCACATATTCTCATCAGACCCGGACTCCAACAGAGCACCCCAAAGCCGCCTCCCAAACCAAAGATCTGACACCAGTTCAGCCACCGCCACAGACACGTTCCCAGAGAACCCCTCTTCCCAGAGAACCTCTCCAGATATTAATGGCCCATCCCCAGCCAGGTCAACCTCCACCTCCATGACGGCTTCAGCCCTCATGACTGGGACATGCGCCGCCCAACGCCCGTCAGGCGAGCGACAGCCGCGATCCCAGCCCGCCGCGCGTCCAGCCCCAAACTCCACCCACCCCGCCAGGCGGCCCATCAGAGCGCCATCACCCAGATCCAAGCTGGATCCAGAGTTATGGCTTCCAGCAGCACATAACTTGACCACAGCCCCACTCCAACCCCTGCCAATGAGCCAAGATACCCCGGTGCTGGGGTGGGGGTGGGGGTGGGGGTGGGGCGGCACTGCTCAATGGGTATCGAGTTTCTGCTTGGGGTGATGGAACCTGCTGGGAAAAGAGATCGTGGCCATGGCTGTTCAACAGCAGGAACATAATTAATGTCACTTAAAAATGGTCAGTTTTATGCTACTCGTGTTATCTCACCATTTAATGCGCCGATCATCAGATCTGCACGAGATTCAGCAGTCGTGTTACGTGGGCTCCTCGCCTGGCAGAGGTTCCTGGTGGTCAGTTGGTGGGGCAGAGATGGCCTGTTTGAGTTTGGAAATCCAACATCTGTCCAATAAAGTGCACCAGGCTCCAACACTCCTGGGGGCTTTTCATGAGCTCTCCCCTCCAGCTCAAGATGCCACGGGGTGCAGGCTACCAGCCCTTCTCAACCTCGGGACGGACCCTCACAACCTAACTTCCACCACATTCTGTTGGCTGAAGCAAGTGCGGAGGGCCACGCGCCAGGGGAGTATCCTGCAGGGAGTGGCGCTGGGTGTGGCCCAACGCTGGTGGCCTGGCCTTTTCTTAATTATTTTATTTATTTATGCCTACAAGAACTGTAGCACAGGCCAGAGGTGGGGTGGGGGTGGGGGGATGAGGGATTCACCAGAGACAGAGTGGGGAGCAGAACAGGCAGATGGACTTGATAGCTGCCCAAGACAGGAGAGGTTTGCTGTGCCCTGGGGGTCACTCCCTGGCTGGGGAACAAACTCATGCTGCAGTGGCTGCCAACGCAACCCTTGCACTGTCGGGGAGGCCCCTTGGTGGCTTTCTGATGACATACCTGTCAGAGATTGTTATAGGTGGAGTTTTATATTTAGCATCTGTAATCTTCCCGGATCATACTAATGGGTGTTACCTTCTGTTTTCACATATTGACTTTAAACACACCCACTCCTCTTCTACAGGGAAAGAAAAATCTTTGCTTTTTCCATGTATTTATTACACCCACAGTTCTTTTGATTGATTGTGTCAAATTCTTTTTTTTTTTTTTTAAGATTTATTTATTTATGCTTACAGAACTGGGGTACAGGCCAGAGGTGTGATGGGTGAGAGGATTCACCAGAGACAGAGCGGGGAGCAGAACAGGCAGATGCGCTAAAATACACTGCTGAGGGGGGCAGTGGGCAGGTCAGGAGAGGTCTGCCGCACCCTGTGGGTCAGCTCCCTGACTGACGGGATATCAAACTCATGCTGAAGTGGCTTCAGAGAGCTTAATAATGCGGGCTGCAGTGCTTTAACCCATTGAGCCACCAAGGAGAGCTCTGATTGTGTCAAATTCTTCAAAAACCCCAGGGCCTCCCTGGTGCTCAGGGATTAAACTCTTAGCCACTTTGGCATGAGTTCAATCCCCAGCCAGGGAGCTGATCCCCAGCCAGGGAGTGACCCACATGGTGCAGCAGACCTCTCCTGTCTCCCTGCTCCTTCCCTCAGCAGTGGATTTCAGTGCATCTGCCTGTTCTGCTCCCCACTCTGTCTCTGGTGTGTCCTCTCATCATCACTCCCGACCCCTTGCATTCTGGCCTACACCCCATTTCTTGTATGCATAATAAATACAAATAAGTATTTAAAGAAAACAAGGACCCCACTGGGATTTTGACTGGATGTACATGAAAAACAAGATGTTATTGGGCTACAACTACCATCAGCACAGCATCTAGACTAATTATCCAGGGAAAGCATCAGCCCTTCACGCATCGATGTACGGAACTGGCTTACTCGTAATTGCTGGTCCTTGGCTATTATGTGCGCTGTTGTTTCTTGGCTTCAAACCCACGCGGGCAGTGAAGGACTTTGGGAATCTGGGACCTGGACTCTGAAGCCCACTTCCGCTTCGAGGGGCGCCCTTTTGGTTTTGGCCAGCAGGGGGCGCCCAAGAGCCCCGTGGAGCCTGGAAGCTGCAAAAGCACTTCCGGTTTGTTGGTGTCTTCTTCCAGCCGCTTTGCCCAGCGCAGTCCCTCACCCCGGCACAGGCAGTTCTTTCCTGCTGCAGTTGCTGAGTCTATTTTGGCAAGTTTTTCCAAGTCTTGCACACCCCTGTTATTTCACTAACTTCCTGGCAGGTCCCCGTCCCGGGGTCTCCTTTGAGTTGACCGGTTCCCCCCACCCCACCCTGCCCCCGCCCTTCTGAGTTTCATCCAAGTCTTTGCTTCCAATAATTCTAACCATTATCTTTTGTTTTTCCTGCCCAGGAGCGGGGGGTGGTGACGGTTTCCTGTAGTTATCATTCATCGTGATTTGCTGGAAGTTTAGCGTCAACAATTGAGGTTGGAAGTTTCACAAGCCCAGAAAACAGAGGTGGCAATAGAAATGAATACTGAGTTGTTAATCAGCAAGGAGAATCGTCTGTCTTTACTAAGGGGATCACCAGTCCTTAGCGATTAACCATCCAGACCATAGAAATGATTGATTCCACCATGGATCAAACTCTACAAAGGAATAAATTTCCCCAAATTACACCATGTAGGAACACTCCTCACTCTGGCCAAATGCATCTGATGTTTTGCCTCTGCCTATGCAGGCGTCATTTTCCTATAAACCTGTCCTTTTGAAAACACAGCTTCTAGGCTTCCCTGGTGGCCCCGGGGTTAAGTGTCAGGACTAGTGCACAGTCACTGCAGCATGGCCAGGGAGTTCGATCCCTGGCCAGGGAGTGACCCCCAGGGCGCAGTAGACCTCTCCTGTCTCCCTACTGCTCCCCTCAGCAGTGGATTTCAGTCCATCTGCCTGTTCTGCTCCCCGCTGTCTCTGGTGAGTCCTCTCATCCCCACCCCCACCTCTGGTCTACACCCCAGTTCTTCTATGCAAAATACAAGAACATAATCTTGTACTGTAAGAGCATCTGTACTGTCTATGCGGACATGTCCCTCAGAAACTCATTATATGATGCTGAATGGGAAACTTAGCTCAAATTTACCGGAGAGACCCAAGAACCCCGCTCACCCAGCCATCAGAATGGTATGAGGTTTTCCTTCCGCCTTTGGTTACCTAGCTAACCAGCACTTTATACCTAAGTGCCATTTCCTTGCACAAAGTCTCATCTGCCAAGATAACTGGTGTGATTTCTGTCTCCAGAATGTACCTAAACACACAGATTCCTGCCACAGGAAGCAGGTTCTCTAAGACAGGGTTTGACGAATGGTTTATATTCAGCAGTTAAACACAGGAGATCAAATTAATTTAAAATAGCAAAAAGATTTAATGTTACACTCTTGTTGGTATTTTGACAGCCTAAGATTTCTCCCCACCAAGGCACCCACAGTCCATTACATTGCTCCCTGTCCCTTGCACGTGTGTGATCTGTTTTTATTTCTTGCAATTTATGTGTCTTCTCAGTGCCCAAAAGGAGACGGAATTCATGCCAGCATGAGGAGCCATTTATTGTTCAGGGGTTGGGGCCCCACGTTTTGGGGGAGCTCCCCCACCACTTCCTCCCCCCATGGTCCCTGTGGACCCCTCAAGTGGCAGGTTGCTGAGTTGATCGTGGAGGGAGCACATTTTCAAATGCAGGTAGTCTAAAGCAGCCGCCTTCTCCCTGTAATGAGAGCGGAGTTGGTGTTGATGGGGCGAGATGCCACGGGGCTGGCGAGGGAGGAGGGATGGCTCAGGCCCTGTCCCCAAGATCTCACCCTCCTCCCATGCCCTCAGCCTCCTTCCTCACTCCGGCTTCATCTTGTCCGTCAGCAGCAGGTTCTTGGCCCGCAAGGCTTCGTCTTGGGCCAGCCGAAGGGTGGAACTCAGGGCCTCTGCCCTGACGTGTTTGGCCAAGGCCTGGCGCTCCAGCTCCTGGGGAGAGGAGCGTAGGTGCAGCTGGGCTTGCAGGACTGGGCTGGGGGTGGAGGGGGAGCTGGATCGCGGAGGGCAAGGGGCAGGGCCCAGGGGGCCCACGTTCCTCCCCTGAGGCAGCCCATCGTGCCTCAAGCCTGAGACTGAGCCCAGCATTCCCCAATTCAATGGCCTCCCAGATTCCACCATGCGCTAAACACCTGTCTGTCCCCTAAAACACCAGACTTCTAGGTCCCAGGAAGCGTCACATCAGCATCTACCATCTTGCCCCCTAAGCCTGTGGCCCATCATGCACTTGGTATGTGACTGGGTCCCAGTGTCCTGTCATGGGGACTTTCTGCAGTCCCAGAATTCACCGGTCCTCACATCTCCTATCGATCAGACCAGCAACTGTCATGTTAGCAGTCCTCGGGGCTCTGGTTGCCTATATCCCAGTGTCCCAGGCCCTACGTCCTTAGCGACACTGACTTCCCGCACTGCCTCACCTGTCAGTCTCCTGCACTACAACAGATATCCCAGCAGCCCTTAAGCCAACATCCCATAATACGGGAGCTCTGTTTCTGAATGTAGCGCACAGGCCTCAGGTTCTATCAGCTGGTGGACTTCAGTTGGGAGCAGCTCCCCACTCAGGCTGTGTTCCTTGTCCCATGATGCCCTCCTCCAGCTGGGTCCCCCATCTGACCTCAACAACCCATATACTGCACCGCCCATCTTGAGGTCCAGGCTTATATTCCATGACGCTGTAGACTGGCCTCCGCCTCCTGTGTCCCACAATGCACCAGAACCAAAGCTCCCAGGCCCGAGTCTATGACCCAAGCTTCTGTTGTCACTGACCTGTGACTCACGAGCCCCTGGGCTGCTTGTCCCTCCTCCCACCCAATGCACTAGATTCAGCTGTTGCCCCCCAATCTGCTACCCACAGCTCAGCCTGTCCCATCCTGCCACATCCCAGCTGTATGCTTCTTCCCAGGGCTCCCTTCTCTCTGCTCTGACAGAAAGTGGGGCATGGTGGCCCCTGGTTCCTGGTACCAGAATCTTCTTGTGTAGCCTCTGACAGCTGGGGCAGGCGGGAGCCAGGCCCCTCTGTTTCACCTCATCCACCAGCGGGGTCAGGGCTCGCTCCAGCAGCTGCTGCAGGGACTCTGTGGACAGCTGCTGCCCCTGGCTGGGGAGAGAACAGTCACCAGGTGAAAGGCCCAGGAC